AGAAATGTATGTTAAATTTAAGATTAATCCTGACTAATTCACAGCTACTTTGGGATTAATCAGATTAAAAATATTAATTGTTTGACAGCCCTGTTTTTATTTTTTTAATAGAAAGCAACATAAAACATATCATTATACTAAATATATGCACTAAAAATACAAGAAGCCTTGCACAGTATTATCTGAATAAGAACAATAAATCATAGAGTGCAACGCAAATTTTAGAAAACAACAGCCYATTTAAAGACTGATTGTGATGTAAACCTGCTCTGTACATGTTTGTGGGTTTCAAGCAGCTGTGATTTTTTGTTCACATATATTTAACAAAGGTGCTGGTTTATATTCTGACTGCACTCCAGGTATTACTGAAATAAAATAAAAATGTGCAGAATTATTATAATCTGTTTTTGGTCACTTTTGATTTTTATTATTTATGAACTACTGATTTATTGTTATTATTATTATTATTATTTAGGACTTGCACGTTCCCCTGCATCCATTCAGGGGTGCTGCAGCACCCTCCACACCCCTGCTTGCGTACAACATGAGGCGTTCCCTCCTCCATCTGTGAAAACAGGTTGCAGTCAGAGTCGGCTCTTRGCATAGGCGAACTAGGTGGTCACCTAGAGCGCCATCTGCTGGAGGYGGCGCCAAACTGCAGAAGAAAAAAGTAATTATTTGTAATCCCTGGTTGTAACTCTGCTCAGCGCCCCTTTCAATTAGCTTTGTTTTAAAAACCTATAATGATGTATTACAGGAAAAATAAACTACTCTACCCATAAAACATCGCCCCCACCCTCTCTCTCATTTGATTGACGTTGCACTGACTCGTCCTGCTCTGACACTCTGATGGGGAGGGGCTAGTAGCACCTCTCAGGTAGCGGTTTGTGTTGACAAACTCAATAACAACAAGTCTGTATTTTGTTGTCCCAAACATGTCAACCTCTTCGGACGTTTACCTGATAAAAAGCCTCAAAAATCTGTAAATTTAGCAAAAAATTCATACAACTCACACCCGGGAGGTGGTGGGGRGTTGTCAGCCTTGCTGGGGTCATGAGAGCGTCCACTGTGAAAGAGGAGGAGAGTGTAAAAAGTTCAAAACTTATTTCTACCAGCAGAACAGGTTGGAAGATGGCTGTTTGATGTTATTGTTTTCTAAATCATCCTACAGGCTCTGACATGTTAGATAAATTTGAAAATGAGGTTTTTAAAAAATCTGTAAGACTTGAAAAAATCTGTGAGATTGCTCTATACGTCTGTACCTGCAAAATGATGTAAAATACTTATAACTTACAGACAATCTGTACAAGTTGATATGTATGTTATTTATTTACCTTCTAGGAAAGCAAATAAATCTAAGTTTACCATAGTACCTTACACTGTCAAACTTGTTTTTAGGGGTTCGAATTGGGGTGGGTGGGACATAGTTGTGGGGGTGGGGGGGCTTCAACTCGCCTAGGGCACCAAAATGGCTAGAGCCAGCACTGTAACAGGTCACACAAAAACAGGAACAAACATGCTTCTCATAGTTTAGGTTTATTGTAAATATATACTCAATGGTCATAACCTTTTTACAAAGTCTGCTGTCTCCGTGCAGAACATTTGTATCAAAATGTGATTTAACAGAACAAGTTATGGAATAAAATGACATGCTTAAAAAATGAAGAAGAAAAAAAGATAAATTATAAGATGTTATCGGTCTGGGCATGTCCTCTGTCATGCAGTTTGAGCTGCAGGRTGAGTCTGACCGTCAGCTCTAATCATGCTCCAATGTTTATGGGGACAAGAACCTAACAGCCATTCAGTGTTCACTTTACTAGAATAATAAAAAAAGCTAAATTTGTAGCCAACCCAGAAGGACTGACATGATTTTAACATTTCTCAGAGATCATTAAAGTACCTGTGACATGCCTATCCTTCAAATACAAAACGTCAAAGAAACCATCTTTACACTTAAGAAAATTGGCATAGCACACATGATTTTACMCATTTTGTCACATAACTGGCTTATTTTCTTTTGTATTTGGCTCAGCCAAAGTGAAACAGGAAGTGACATCAAAGGGGAACTCATTAACAAAATAAACTCTCTGGTCTCTGTTTATTAAAACAAAATTATTTAAACTTTATCTATTCTTCGTCTCTCTTTGATAGAAAATAAAAATAATCTAAAGAAACATCAGAATCTTCTCTAGTGTGTGTTGTTAGCTTTTGTAATGACGCTCTGTTTACATGCAGACATTCCCCTTTGACATCACTTCCTGTTTCTTCACTTCCTGTTACTTCACATGTAAATATCTCAACAGCCGTTCATCTCAGCAACGTGAAAGTTGTTTTGAAACATGTTCTCAATGTTATCTTTCCAAAAATGCATTCATGTTTATTACAGAAATTTGACGTCACTGGCCCTTTAATATATTGAAGTAATTATAACAGACTCATGGTCTACAGAGGAAAAACACCTGCAGGAGTAAAATGTTTTAGTTGCCTCAAAACAACTGAACTTACTGCAGAGATGCCAAAAACAGGAAGTTCTGTAACTTTGTCTTCCAGTCACTGTGGAGAATCCACATCCACTGCATGTGGCAGTGTTTACAGAAACTTCTCTATTAAAAATAAATGAATAAAAAACAGATTTGAAAAATATTTGAATAAAATAAACTGACTGCTTAAGTGGATTATCCAGAGTAAAAGCATGGAAACTGTTTTTATAAGAGAAATGTGTAAACATGTGGTGTGTGGCATGGTGGTCATCGTGTAGAGGGGACTCATAAAAATATTAGACACCAAACCTCTTCAGATCTAGTTATTGGGCTGTAAAGTTAATGATCTGTGTAAAAACATTTTAAATTTAACTGATGTTAAAACTTGTTTTTCCAGACTTTCAAATCTTTTGAAGTTATGAGTTGTGGAAAGGTTATGAACAATTAATATCTTACCTGTTGTAGATAGCTTTTYGAACAATCTCAGTTWGAGGAGCAGAGTTGGAATCGGACCAGATTCACAAGCTAACATTTATTAAGAGCAAAGACCAAACTTAAACTAGCTCCAGTCTCCAAAGAAGACATAGTAGTTCATGCAAAAGACATTTTTTTTAAAACAGTTCTGTGTTGCATTTGTTGTTTAAGGATTATTTGCAAGTGCGATTAGCGGAAACTGCAGTTAGCTGTGGCACTTCCTGTACAGCAGGAATGTACAAATCTAATTCTGAAAAGATTGGAAATAAAAACAGAATGAAATGATTTGCAAATCACATGAACTCGTACTCACAAAGTATCATTATTAAACATATTAAATGTTTTAAAGGGATCCACAATTAGTTGTAACATTAGACTTTATTTGATAAACATATTTTAATTGGAAAAATACTGTAGGATGTTTAGTTTTGTAAATTTTAAAAAATATATTTTAACAAGGACGGAGCCATTTTATTTCCACACAAAGCATTCTGGGTAAATGATGACGTGGATAGGTCCTCGGTGCGAGGCTGCTAGCGAGCTATATCCACCCTGAAGGTTAATCTTAATAATTAATTATTAAG